GTCATGCTGTGCGGTTGGACAACATGATACCTCCTCATCCACTCTCCTTAACAGAGAGTAGTGGAGAAGGACTCAGCAGATGGACTATCAATGAATAACCATCATGGTTTAGCCCGGGTACAGAGGGGCTTACCTCAGGGAGCTAGTTCAACAGGCTGAGCAAGACAGCTCCTGACCCACAGCCCACCTCCAGAATGAGAGGGCCATGTTGGGTCCCAGCCACATGGGGAAACTAAGCCACCTCCTACAGCAACCATTCAACAAGTTCCTGTGTGTGAGAGAGACAGAGACAGAGACAGGGAGACAGGCAGAGACAGAAAGAGAGAGAGAGAGAGAAAGTCAAAAGTACACTTAAACCGGGTGCCGGTGGCACAGGCCTATAATGGTAACTGCACAGGACCTGAGATATGAGGATCATGGTTCATAGCCAGCACAGGTAGGAACATCTTTGAGACTCTTATCTCCAAAGAACCACCAGAAAACCGGGAGTGGTGCTGTGGTACAAGTGGTACGTTAGCCTTGATCTGAGGGGCTGGGGACAGCGCCCAGGCCCAGATTTCAAGCCCCATGAATGACAAGAAGTGGACTGATTAGCACCCATAGTCTTAGGGAGCATGGCAGAGAAGTCAGGCAGAGCTTCCTGTAAGCTGGGGGACATGAGTAGGCCATCCAGGTTCTCCGTGCCTCATTTTCCCCAGCTGCAACACTGAACACAGTGAAGGATCCCTTTCCTCATGGGGATAGAGTAAGGATGAAAGAGAGCCATGTTTTGTTTCATAATCCCATACCTGTTGCACGATAAATAACAGGCCCCGTTTGCGTCATTTCCAGCTATCTTCCTGTCATATGCTCACATAATTGCCAAGAACCTTCTCTGACGACTGCTCCCTCTATGCTGCCCTGCCCAGAGATGCCCCTGTATTAATCTCTTGTTTCCTCACAACTTTCCTGTGAGGAGACTGAAGTCCGATGGTTCCAGGCCCAACCCAGAGCTTCAACTTTGGTCAAGAATCGGCTGCTGTGGACTAAGAGTTTGGGATAATCTATCTAAACCGATGACTGAGCATAGTGCAATATGTCTACCATCCCAACTACAGATGACCAAGCATGGTGGCCCATGCCTGTCACAGGAGGACCATGATCTCAGCCCAGCCTGAGCATATATTGAGTCTCTATCTTGGAACTGCCCAAGACAGAAAGATTTAGCTCCCATGGTAGAATACCTGACTGGAAAACCTAGGCTTTGAGTTCAAACTCTAATATACCAAAAAGAATCAGAGGCCGGGTGCCAGAGGCTCATGCCTATAATCCTATCTACTCAGGAGGCTGAGATCTGGAGATCACAGGTCAAGATTAAAATAGGGTAGACCTTGCCCCTCAGATGTCATGATCAGAAGACCCAGAGTCTGACCGATGCCAATACGCTCCATACTAACAGGGCTCACATCCTTATTAAATGCTGCTCACATTCTCTATCCCCCTGAGGAGCCATCCCCTGCGGGCCCCACCCCCAGGTCCTCCCAAGCTCCCTCTGCCACTACCAGGCCCAAGTGAGTAGACAGTTCCAGGGCACAAAGATCCCTTGGTCTTATAATTTAATTGTGTTGAGTCTCCTTCAAGAGTCTCACCCTTCCAGGCCCCCAGATTTCAGCAACAAAGCCCATGCACCGCCCCCAAAGATAGTGGTTAGAAGTTACCAAAGGGCCCAGCACTCCTTGTTACAACCCACTTCTACACACACTCACTCACACACAAACATACAAACACACACACACACACACACACACACAAGGCCGGCATGGATGGCTCCTGTCTGTCAGCCTAATTACTCAGGAGGCTGAGGTCTGATGATCACTTTTAAAAACCAGCCCTTGCAGGAAAATCTGAGAGGCTCTTATCTACAGTGAACTACCAAATAGCCACTGGGGGAGCTGTGGCTAAAGTGTCAGAGCATTAGCTTTGAGCACAAAAGGTCAGGAACACCACCTAGATCTTGAGTTCAAGGCCCAGTTATTGTACCTTCAAACACACACAGACACAGATACAAACAGACAGACAGACAGACAGACAGACAGACAGACACACACACACACACACACACACACACACACAAACACACACACAGATAGCACAAGGGTTCAGCAGTCCCTGAGCATAGAACCATGAACTCATTCCATTAGGATCACATCCTACCCCCAAGAAGGTGGCACTACCGACCTCAGACCCACTGTAGAAAAAACACCGAGCTTCTCACTTATCTGGAATGTCTCATAGACCAGCATAGCATTTCATATCGTACACACTGCTATGCAGAAAACTTAGCCAATTCTTTTTTTGTTGTTGTTCTTGGAGTTTGAACTCTGGGCCAGGTTACTGTCTGTCAGCTTTTCAGCTGAAGGTGAGAACGCTCCCACTTAAGCCACAGCACCACTTCCTGTTGTTTGGTGGTCCATTGGACATCAAGTCTCACAGATTTTTCTTCCGAAGCTGGTTCTGAAACATGGTCTTCACATCTCAGCCTTCTGAGTAGCTAGGATGACAGTTGTGAGCCACTGGCGACTTCCGGTTTCAGCCACCTTCACATACCCAGAGGAAAACCATCTCATAAGGCCACAAACTTCTTGCAACCCTTCACTTCAGACTTTGTCACCAAGCATCCAAATCCATCCTTTATTGGAGAGAATACAAACACAGCAATCCCACCCCTGCACCCATTCGCCTACTCCCTGCCTGCCACAAGCCACGTCCTCTTGAAGCTGTGGCTTCAAGCTGGGGTAAAATTGGGGAGGTCTTAGAAATGTCTGTAAAGTGGGATAAGCACCTTGTCTCCCAAACACAGCACCCCCCTCTTCATTCCTCCCACACCTGGACCAACCTTTGCAAGCAAATATGTTTTACTATCTTTCTTTTTTCAGTAGTGGGGTTTGAACTCTTGGCCTGGGTGCTGTCCCTGATCAATTCAGCTCAAGGCAAACACTCTACTACTTAAGCCACAACACAACACCACTTCTGCTTTTCTGGCTGTTCATTGGAGATAAGAGCTTCAGGGTTTTTCCTGCTCAGGCTGGCTTTGACCCCTGATCCTCAGATCTCACCTCCTGAGTACCTAGGATGACAGTCATGAGCTAGTGCCACCCGGCCAAAGATACTTTCCCATGCTTGTCATCCTATCCCCTCAGGAGACTGAGATCTGAGGACTGCAGTTGGATGACACCCTTGGCAACAAAGTCCATGAGAACTCTTTATCTCCAATTATGAACACCCAAACCTGTTGGAAGTGGAGCTGTGGCTCAAATGGTAGAGTGCTAGCTTTGAGTATAAATGACAAGGGATAGGACCCAGTCCCTAGTTTCAAGCTTTTTCTAACGAAGACCCACCCATGAAAGGGAAGCATGTGGGCATACAAGAGCTGAAAGCTCACCCATAATACTCAAGACTCCCAGAACAGACCCCATCCTGCTCTGATTCTCTAGATTCTATGTCCTACATCATGGTAATCTTAGATGGGACTTACCATGCACCAGTTAAGGATGTTCAAGTACAATCGCGTATTCAGGATCCCCTGGCCTTATCAAAGACTCAAGATCTCTCACTGTCCTGCCTCTACACTGGGTAGGGAGGTGAGGTCTAGTTATCCAACCACAGGATGTGGGAATGAAAGGATTTCTCGGCCAAGGGACACAGATTTAAGGGCTCCAGGTCCCTCTCAGGAAGGAGAAAAGGGCTGATCTATCCCAGGAATGTTCCTGGGTTGTGAGTGTCCTCAAAGAAACAACCCTGCTCAGAGACCAGTGCCTCTGGTTTTCCCACCAGCCTCTATCCAAACCTGCCCCACCTTCAGTCTGACCTCTCTGAATCCCAGATCTGCCATCTAGACTAAAGGCTGAGCCAGCAAAGAGACCCATCTCTGCCTCTGAGAATGGCAATCACGGGGTCCTAGCGCCTGCTAGAGGAAGTCTGGGGCAACAAGGGTCCTTACTCCCACCCTCATTCCCTGGATGTCCTGTGCTAGTGGCCAGCTTACTTCTGTCTCTGGTGGAGGAAAGAACAGGTGGGGGGGTGTCAACTTCAGATTGAGCCCTGGAAAGTCCCAGTCCCCAAGGATGTACTGCACAGGCATTCTGCAGTGGACGATAGCCAGGTGGTCAATGGTGAACCCAATGTGCCAGGACTCTTAATAGCAGTGTGGCTGGGTCAAAGGCTCTATGAGTTTTGGTCTAGGATGTCAGCTGAAATCATGGCTCCAATCTCCTGACACTCCTGACATGTGATCGTCCTCCCTCTTCATCTTCCTGCTTATCCCTTGCCTCCCCACAACACTCCCTCACACCAATACCTCCCTAGCCCTTGGACTTATCTGACCAGAAAATAAACTCATTGGCACCAGGGATGATTGAAACCTGGTGACCTGCCCTGATTCCTAGTGTCTACCCGAGGCTGCTTCCCTCTGCAGTCGGCTACTACACAGCTCCTGGATGTCAGAAAGTTGCTGAGGTGTCAGTAGCTTGGTCCTACATACTGGCTTTAGGCTCTGAAATTGTCCCCACATAGATTGTGAATGGTTGGCTCCCTTGATCCAGGGATTCCAAACCAAGGCTCACATGTTCTCCCTTCTTCCTTCCTTTCCTCTTTTTCACCATCCGGACTTCCCTCCTCTTTCTCTCTTTCCTTCCTTTCTCTCACTCCTGGGCCTTGAACTCGGAGCCTAGGTGCTGTCCCTGAGCCTTTTTACTCAAGGCCAACAGACTATGGCTTGAGCCACATATCCACTTCTGGTGTTTCCTTTTTGGTAGTTAGTTGGAGATAAGAGTCTTACAGGCTTTCCTGCTTGGGTCTCAAGCATCAATCCTCCCATCACAGCCTCCTATGTAGCTAGGATGACAGGCATGAAGCACCAGAATCCAGCTCAAACCAAGGTTTCTTCATGTGCTGTGGAACCAGCACTGGAAATTCTCATTGTCTATGACCCCTCCGGAACCTGGCACACACTGTAACTCTACAAAAATACTACAGAATAGTCCCATTCCATTCAGGTAAGCATCCTGGTGGGTGGGGCAAAGCCTGATGTAGCTCTCCCACAGTTCTCCCTCCTCCCTCTTCCCACCCTCTTGGTGCCAGGGAACTTAACTGTTTTGGCTCTGAAGACATGATCCATGGTGCACTCGCTGGATTCTGGGGCCTCTGGGATGCCTATCTTCTCAAAGATCTCTGGCCAGCGGCTGACCAGCTCTGTGGCACTCAATTCCCCACTCAGGAGTGAATGAGGGTGCCATGAGCTGAAGGCCAGGCTCAAGCAGCCTACTCTCCCACCCCTGGGGCCAGCCAGGATGGCCCACCACATCTGGCCCCCAAGTTTCATGTTGCAGAGGAAGGATCCTCGAGGCATCTTGGGTTTCTGAATCTCCCAGAGACCAGTGCAGGTGCTGAGAATCCTCTCTACTCACAGCTGGCAGGCTAGGTATGGTGAGGTCACAATCTCTGCTCCCCATGACATCCTCAATGTTATGTCCAGGTAGCAGGACCCCCACCAAGAAGACCACCGAGTGTCAGACTCTACAGCTGTTTTATTTAAATGGGCTGCAGCTCGGGCCTCGTCCTACACTCTGACACAGAGGAGCCCAGGAGGAGAGCCCCGAGCTAAGGATTTACAAGTCTTATAAAGGCACACAACCAGGTGGTTTAGCACCACGTGTTGCTCTGCTCTGAAACAAGCAACATATGGTCACTGCCTCAAGTACATTAACCCTTCACTCAACTGTGGTGGTCACACTAGAGGGAGTCAGAGGAGAATCAACAACTGCCCAATAAAAGCAATCAAGGCACGGCATTCATAGCAGGAGACCATCTGGCTTGGGAACTCTGCTTGTGATTCTTTGAACGTCATTGATTGTTGGCTGAAATGGTCCCTCTAATTTGACCCATAATCCCAGGCGTTAGTGGAAATGGCCAGCTTCAAGAAAAAATCCTGGAAAACGTGGCATTTCAGTTGTCCCAATCAAACATAAACGGTTCCAAAGTTAACAGTCCCCTTTTCTTTCAAAACAGCCCACAGCAGGTTACAGAAACTGACATTCAGCAATCCCTAGCTAACTGCCATGGCCTGATACCGAGCAGGCTCCAGCAGGGGGAATGCACTTGCCTACCACTACCACAGCACAGGCAGGACACAGATTAGAGTCTGCAGAACTCCAGGGAGGACTTCCCACCAGTGCATGCCCCCTGAGAGAGAATCTACGCCACCAGTGGGGTCCCAGAGCACCCTGCCCAGATGCCCATGGACACCATCAATGCCCTGGGTAAGGTTGGCCTCTCATCCTCAGTAGTGGTGAACCATCTGCAATGTCACACCGTTCACCACTTCCCAGACCCTCCTAACTTCACAGCCCCTGCCCTACTCCCCCCCTCCATCTCTTCCCTAATTACATTTGGCAGACACATTCCCAACCCTTGAATTAGCTACAGCTATACAAACGAGAGCAGGCTGTCTGGTTGGAAGAGTGCGGCTATGGTCACACCTGTCTCACAAGCCTTCAGGCTTAAGACAGAAGGTGTCCACTTTGGTCTGTAGTTCACACAGGCCTGCTAGGGGAGACCCACACAGGCCAAGCAGCTACTGTGGGGTATAGGAAAGGGGGAAGAGAAATTGCTACTGAAATCTTCCCCAAAGGAGCCATGAAACAGTGAAGGTGAAAACAAAAATTATGGCTCGTTTCATACTTGGCATTGATGAAAAAGAACAACGAACACACACACACACACACACACACACACACACACACACACACACACACACACACACACATCCAGAAAAGTTACTGTAGACTCATTCATGCAGCACCTATAATTTGCCAACGGATCACTCACCTGAGCACAGTAGGGCTCTCTCTCTCTCTCTTTCATGCACACACGCGCACCCATGTGCACGCACACACACACACACACACACACACACACACACACACACACAGAATCAGAGTAGTGCCCTTCCTGAGTTGGTTAGCTCCTCATCTGGGGCAGTGTACAAGGTGGAGCACGGGAGTTCCCTTGTCAGAACCAGGGGCTCGACCCAAGGAAGCACAGCTCTAATCATGCTAAACCACCCTGCCTCTCCCTTTCTCCAGGGCCAGACACTTTCCCTTGGGAATAACCAGCCTTGAATCCCCATTCACCAAAACCCTAGGCCAGGAATCTGGGTGAAGGAGTCCTGAGACAAGTGGCTCTTCAGAGCCTGGACTGAAAACAAGCAGGAGGTCATTGTGTCCCCAGAGAAGTGTCTGACCCGGGGTGGGGGCAGTGTTGGGGAAATGGATGGGGTCCTAAAGGCTACATACATGGACAAACTTCCTACTTCCAGCCTAGATGCTTCTGGGTGACTTGGTGGGTTCTTGGGGAGGATGAGGAAACCAGATGGACCTGGAGCACCAGCAGATGGTGGCAGAGCTGGGAAATGTGATCACTCTGTGAATGCTGTTGACAGCAGGAGAGGGGATGGGGGACAGGCAGGATGTACATGTGTTGGAGGGGCGTGTTCTTCCCAGGCATTCACTTTCTATCTGACCCCTAGTGGCCTCACCTCCCTAGTAGGCTCTTCTGGGCCCCTCCTCAGGAGAAAGGGTGATCGAGCACAAAAGACAAGGGCTCACACAGAAGTGGGGCGCTATCTTCTGAATCCAACACCCCCCACTGACAGAAAAATAGAAAAATAGCAAGAAGGCAGGTGTGGAGGTGTTGCTCCCCACCTCTGATTAAAGCCACCAGGTTCCCCCCAGGGAGAGGAAGAGTGCAGATGCATGTCTCTGTGGCTCTCACTGCTCTAGGCCAGGGGCTCAGTGGCGTCCCCTCTTCACCCATCCCTGCATCTGCCCTTTTCCTGGGACACTGGCCACTAGGGATGGGGGTGGGATCCCAGGATCAACATCCACTCCCCAACCCGCTACTCCTGGGGCGCATTTGTGGCAGTCAGGGCTGGCCTCCTGGTGCTGGGGAGGCACATTTGGGGCACAAGTGGGGGGAAGGACTCATGGGTCTGGGTCCGTGGGGGTTGGGAGGTAGGTTGAGGTCGTGAGTTGCAGACCCGCGGGGCTTCCACTGGACACTGGGACCCGGTCAGGGCCACAAGGAGGCCAAGGGTGCACCATCGCTTGATGACTCCAAAAGACGCCACGGGTCCAAGCTGGCAGCAACATGTTTCAAATGTCGTGCCACGGGGAGGGCAAGAGAAGGAGCCGGGGCAGGGGAGGGCAGGTGGCAGGGCTGAGTTTGCCCCCTCCACAGCTGAGCTCCTGGTGCAGGGGCCTTGGACTCAGGGCCTACCTGGCCTCTGAGCCTCCCTGGGGCTGAGAGAGGGACGTGCCTGCTGCACGGGCTTTGTGTCCTCTCTGCTCCTGGCCCAGACCTGTGCTCCTACAGCAGCAGAGGCCAGCCATTGATGCTGCCACCCCTGGTGCATGTGCCTGCTCTTCTCTGCTCTCTCTCTGCCCCCGCTTCTCACCCAGGCTGCCCATCCTCTGCTGCGCAAGTATGCCAGCTCCCATGTGCCTCTGGATGCAGCAACTATGTGCCCCTTCAACCATGCCCTGTACTCCCCTCAGTCACACACCCTCCCCACATCCACCATGCCCCCACCCCTGGCTTTGTGCTGCTCTGACTCTGCCCTAGGGCTACGAGGCCATGGCAGAAGCAGCCTCACCTCAGCTCAAGGCTTCCCCACAACCCCAGCAGCTCAAGATACCCCAAGCCCAACCACTGGGGGAGACTCTTGTCCATCCACCCCACACACCAAGCAAGTGCAACTAATGCTCCGTGTTTGTGTGTGTGTGTGTGTGTGTGTTTTGTGTGTGTGTGTGTGTGATTGTCCTCTCAAGGACTCAGAACATTGAATCTTTTGGGATGACAGCACACAGCACACTTAAAAAGAGAAGCAAAAAGAGCCCTGTGTAATGGATTCAACACAATGTGCCCTTTGAAGGACTCAGCACATAGCAACTTTTTGCATCCTCATGGTAATTTAATTACCAATAAGATTAGACATGCCATTTTGACATCACTAAATTAAATATAATAATATTATGATATTACATGCCATAGTGACATTGTAGACATATTGTGAATTCCTATTCTGTGATTTCATTCTATTACAAGCTAGCAATATTGGTGGATATCAGAAATCCATTGTGACCTCAAAGCCATTGTGACATGAAAATCCCTTTGTGACATCACAGTGCCATTGTGATATCGTTAACCTGTTCTGACATCACAAACCTGTCTTGTCCATTGTGACCTCATCACCAATGTGACATCACAATGCCATTGTGATATCACATTGCTATTGTGACATTACAATCACCTTGATACCTCCCAAACCCATTATGACATCTTTAGCACCTTTGAAAAAACACATGGCCTTTGTGACATCACAGTCCCTTTGTGTATCTATATCCTCATTGTGAAATATCAATTGAGATCAGATATGTCATTGTAATATCACAAAGCATTTACAATATAATCATTGGTGTGACATCACATTGTCATTATGACAACATCAGGTCATTGGGACATCACAAATCTGTATTGACATCATACCACTATGACACCACATTGTCATTGTGACAACATATATACATTATGAAGGCCTATTGTGTGATTTCGTTGTATTTCAAATGTGGGTTCATATCAAATACACATTTTGACTTCATAACCATTGTGACATGACAACCCCTTTGTGATATAACATTGCCATTGTGACAACTGTGACAACTCAAACCTGTCCTGTCCTCATAAGTTTTGTGACATGTTACCACTGTGTTAGGCCCATTGAGAGCTCAATCTATATTCAACCTCATATTATTTCAGGTACGACATTAAATATTAGAAATATACTGTGATATTATGAATATTGTGACATCACATTACTAGATGTAATGACCATTGTGTCACATTGTCACATCACAAATCTGTTCTGACTTCATCACATTTGTGCCAACAAATGACTTTGCAATCCTCACAATCCCATTCTAAACTCATATACTCATTATGAGTTAATGACAATTAAGTTCTGGAATGCCATTGTCACATCACCACACTACTGCGACATCACAAAACTATTTTGAACTCATCACTATTATGGCATCACCAACTAATTGTGACATAACAACGCTCTTATGACATTATAATTTGACATCATATTGCAATTGTGATATTACTGAACCATCATGCTTTCATAAACCTATTATGATCTCATCACATCTTAGAAAATTATGGCCTTTCAGACATCAAGCTCCTTCCATGAACTTGTATCATTGTGAACTTGTAGCAATTGAAAATTGAAATAAGATGTGATATTGCAAACTAGTTTTGACATCACTAACCCATTTTTATATCATTAACACTTTGACAAACAGAACCTGTTAGGAACCTTAGGACTTTTGACAAAAACCATGGCCTTTGTTTCATCACAGTTCATTTGTATATGTCATTGTGACTTCATTCTCATATCCTCACTATAAACTAATGGCAATTAAGATCTGACATGCCATTGTGATGTCATAAACCCTTTGTGACATCATCAGAAATGTGACATCAGACTGTCATTATGACACCATCAGCTCATTGTGACATCACCAAACTACAGTGACATCATAGCATTATGACATCGCATTGCCATTTGCTGTCATAGACACATTGTGAATGTATAATCTTGTGATTTCATTCCATTTCAAATGTGGCATATCAGTTGATATCAGAAATATATTGTGACCTCATAACCATTGTAAGATAATAAACCCTGTGTGACATCATAACCAGTGTGACCTTATATTGTTGTTATGACATCTTTAGCTTATGGTGACATCACAAAATGATAATGACAGTATAGCATTTGCCATTGTCATTGTGACATCATTGTCACATTATGAATGCCACATCTGTGATTTCATTGTATTTGAAATGTGTCATGTGGGTGATATCGGAAACTCATTGTGATGTCATAACCATTGTCACATCAAAATCCCTTTTTGATATCAATTTGGCAATGTGACATCACACTGGCAATGTGATGCTACTAAGGCATCGTGATATCACAATGGTCATGAACTCACAATGGATTTCTGGTATCAACCGACATGCCACATTAGAAATAGAATCAAATAACATAATACCGCAAACACAACGTTTCTGTCTATGACATCAGAATGACAATATGATGTTACAATGATATGTCATTGTAGTTTTTCATGTCAAAATGAGCTGATGGTGTCATAATGGCAACATGATGTCACAATTATGATTATGTCAGAAAGGATTTGTTATGTTTCAATGGTATATCTGATGTCAGTTTTCATCAGTTCCCCATGAGGATATGGATACAAAAAATTCTGTGATGTCACAGGGGCCATGTGTGCTTTCAAAGGTGGTAAGAGGTCATAATAGGTTTGGGATGGCACAATGTGATCCATAATGTCACAATGGAAATGAGATATCCCATTGGGTTTTTGATGTCACAGTGGTGATGAGGTCACAAAGGTTTTGTGATGTCACGGTTTGTTTGTAATATCAGAATGATATATCAAATTAAAATGACTCATAATTCAATATGAGGATACCAGGTGATAGAAGAAGCTCCATAGTATGAGGTCATATTAGGTGAAAACCCAATGGGACAGTGATTTCACAATGACAATGTGATATCTCACCATCCTGTTATAAGAATGTTTTGATGTCACAATTGGTGATGCAATACTGATGAGGAGGTCGCAATAGATTTGAGATGTCCCAAAGGGTTGGTGATGGCACAATGGCATGTGGGATCTCAATTGTCATTAACACACCCTGAGTATATGAGTGTGGAAAGAGATTCTGATGTCAGCAAAGCATATGTAGTCAAAAAGGTGAAGAACTAGCAGGTCTGAGATGTCACAAAGTGACACAGTGGTTATGATGTCCAGCGGTGTGATATGATGATGTTACACTGGATTTTAGATATCTCGTGTCATATCTGAAATATGAGGTCGAACACAGATTTTCAACTCACAAAGGGCCTAAGATATCGATGTCACATCGGGTTAGTGATATAACAAAGGCAATGTGCTGTGACAAAGAGATTTAGATGTCACAAAGGTTATGAGTTCACTGATATCAACGGTTTCCTGATATCAACGCAGATGGCACATTTGAGATAGAATGAAATCAAAGAATAGGCATTCAAATTGGGTCTATGACATGAAAATGAGACTATGATGTCAAGGCAGCAATGTTTGATAGTATATGTGCTCATTACCTTGCTCATGTAACTGTAATCCTTCTGTACACTGTATTTGCAAAAAAAAAAAAACTCACAGAAGAAAAAAAAATATGGTATGTGTCTTTGGGGTTTGGTGATGTCACAATGAATGGTGGTGTCATGATGACAATGTGATTTCACAGTCATAATTATTGCGCAAAGTATTTGTGATGATATAACGCTATGTGTGATAACAATTTTCATTAGTTCACTATGAAGTTATGAGTACACAAAGGGTCTCTGATGCCACAGAGGTGATGTGGTTTTTTATTTTATTTTTTTTTATTGAGAAAATACTGTACAGAGGTGTTACAATTACATGGGCAAGATAATGAGTATATTTCTTATCAAGCATTGTAGCCTCCTCCTTTGTTTCCCCTTCCCATCCCTTCCCATCCTCCTCCTGCCACCCCACCCAATCCTCCCCGCTTCCCCTCCCCCCCTCAGCACGAAGTTGTAAAGTTCGTTTTTGACATAACGACTTGTACATCTCAAGAGTTCACAATAGCTATGTGATGTCACAATGTGATTGTGAAGGCACAACAGCAATATGATGTCACAATGGTTTTGTGATGTCACACTGGTGATAAGATCACAATGAATTTGTGATGTCATTATGAGTTTGTAATATCACAATGACATGTCCTATTTCAATTTCTACTAGTTCACAATGAGTATACACTTTCAAAGAAAGAATCTTAAGCTCCAAAGACCATGAGTTTTTAGTCATAACTTGTGTGATATGCTGTCATTAGGATATTTTAGGCCTTTAGGAAGCTTATAATCTGTTTTCAAACTCATAATAATTCAGGTATGACAGATGATATCAGAAATTGACTCTGACATGAACATTGTGACATCACATTGATAGACATCAAGACCATGGTGTCACATTGTGAACTCACAAATTTGTAGGACTTCATCACATTTGTGCCAACACATGACTTTAGAGACAACACAGTCCCGTTGTGAACTCATATCTTCATTGCGAATTAATGACATTTGAGATCCGGCATGTCATTGTGACATTTCCAACCAATTGTGACAGCACAAACCTATAGTAGAAACACATTGTGATCTAATAGTCATTGTGGTAGCACAATCCCTCCATGACCCCACATTTCCATAGTGATATCACTAACCCAATGTGAAATTCCAATCCTCTCATACCCAATCCAGGTATGAAATGTGATACCAGAATCTAATGTGACATCTTGATCATGGTGACATCACACTGATAGATGTTATGAGCGTATTGTCACATTCTGACAACACACACCTGTTAGGACTTCATCACTTTTGTGACAACGTATGCCTTTGGAGACATCACAGTCCCTTTGTGAGCTCATATACTCATTGTGGGTTAATGACACTTGAGATCACATGTGTCATTTTGCTATCACCAACCCATTGTGACATCACACACCTCTTGTAAACTCATCACCAGTGTGGCATCACCAATTGTGATATCAAAACATTATTAAGTCATCATTTTGCAACATCACATTGCCATTGTGATGTCACTGTTCCACTGTGTTTTCAAAAACCTACTGTGTCCTCATAGCATTTTAGAAAATTCATAGCCTTTTATACTTCAGTCTTCTTCTGTGAACTCATATCCTCATTGTGAAATAGTAGCACCTGAAATTGGACATGTGATTATGAGATGTGACTTCACAAAATTATTTGATTTCATCACCAATGTGACATCACAAACCCATTGTCAGCTTTCATTGCCATTTGACATTACTATCACATTGTGACATCCCAATCCTATTAGGACCTCTTAGCACCTTTGAAAAAACACATGGCCTTTGTGACACCACAGTCCCTTTGTGTAACTATACCCTCATTATGAACTGACAATTGATATCAAACATGCCATTGTAACACCACAAACCCTTTGTGACATCACCAGTGTGACATAATATTGTCATTATGGTAGCATCAACTACATTTGACATCACAAATCTCCAATGACAACATAGAATTATGAGATCACACTGCCATTGTGATGTTATAAAAACATTATGAATGCCTGTTTTTAATCTTTTATTTATCCGGTCGTGGGGCTTGAACTCTGGGCTCTGGTGCTGTCTCTGTTCTTCAGCTCAAGGTGAGCAGTCTATCGCTTGAGCCACAGAGCCACTTCTGGTTTTCTAGTGGTTTTCATTGGAGATAACAGCCTCATAGACTTTCCTGCCTGAGCTGGCTTTGAACTGCGATCCTCAGATCTCAGCCTCCTGAGTAGCTAGTTTTAGAGGCGTGAGCCACCGGCGCCCGGCTTTTTCATTCTATTTCAAATTTGACATGTGTGTTGATATCAGAAACATAATGTGACCTCAAAACCATTGTATCATCATAAATCAGCAGTGACACCAAATTGTCTTTATGACACCATCAGCTCATTGTGACATCACAAAACAATAATGGCATCATAGCATTATAAATCACAGTGACATTGTTATGACTTAACAGTGTGAAGGCCTATTCTGTGAATTCACTCTGTTTCAGAAACCCATTTTGACCATATAACCATTGTGATATCACAATCCTTTGTGACATCACATTGCCATTGTGATATCATTAACCTGCTGTCCCATCACAACCAGTCCTGTCCTTGTAAGTTTTGTGACATGCTGCCATCATCATTTAGTAGGGTCTTTGTGAGCTCATAATCTGTTTTCAATCTCATATTTCTTGTATGACATGTGATATCAAAAATCACTTATGACATCATACTGCCAGATGT